TTTTGGCAATAAAGAATCTGGTTCAACCTCCAGTCCAGCCGAGACGTCTTTATCCAAAACCCATCTAGTGTACTTGAAAATCAATTCCAGGTGAGTATTTCCTAACGTTTGGAGGTAAGTAACCATTTGATCAAGTCCATGGAAGAATGGGTCAGATTCAGGATCTTGAGACTGGGTACGAAGCAGCTCAAGGGCTAAAGAGAAGGGATAAATCAATCACCAACTGTGCAAAAGAATAGAATAATTAAAATGAGCGTGAAGTCACCCATTTCATGCTTCTTTCTTGACTCATATAAGATGAACAACGAGGGTAACCGATTTTCAGCTTTCAGTATAGTCTCAGCATCCTCGAAAAAACAAGAGTTGTTGTGCAGACGAAGCAACGAGTCCACAAGGGATGGCCTTGTCTAAAAGATGGAAAATATAGTTGATTATGGCACGAATGTGAAGTATATGCTTGATTACCTGTAAATAGCACTTCAATAAGGCAGTGTCAATAACTTGCAATGAGATATGCAGACTTTTCAGGTGTTCTGGACTCATGCTCAAATTAGCCTGGCTTTGATGTCTTTCACGGTTGTACTGGTCCAACTGCTTTGAGAGATCTGCTCGCACCTATATGACTGCAACTGGTTATTTTTCTCCAGTTGTTTCTTATATAACATACCGCCGAAAGGTAATTACCCAAAGCTAGCAGAGCGCGTTTTTTGTCATTTGCTGGTAAATCAAAAGCTGCGGCGTCTTTCTGTAACTTCTCTGGTAGAAATTCCGGAAACATTTGAATGATTGTGATCACATCTAAAATGGTTAAAACAAACTTGAAAGAAAAATCTTCCCTTATTTGATAACATAGGTGAAGAAATATAAACGCAGAGAACACGTTTTTAACGTAAACAACATACCAGTCTTGATTTCAGCATACAACTGAAAGGACTCCTCGAACTTTCTCCTGTGAAAAAGGTTGAGCGCTGCCTGCCGTTTAATTTCCATCTTGTTCTCTTCAGTAAAGA